CGTTTGTAAATCATGGGGGAAAAGCTGGAAAAGTGCAGATATTGACCGCTCCATGTCGCTTTTCGGTGGACTGAGAGTTGTAGTGTCCAATTCATTCGCCTTGTAACTTTTATGTCAAGAAAAGATAAAGTGTTATTGGTTTCCGATTAATGAGATACAAATGGATGTGGATGAACTGGGTTAGACTGTTGTAAAAGTGTATTAAAATGTTCATATTTAATAATGAAAGTATCGTTCATGTAACGTTTGTACAAGGTGGATATAGGAATATTATCACTTAGCTTTTTCTCAATCATACCTAGAAAAACATCAGCCAAAATGCGACCCAATGGACTGCCCATTGCCACGCCATCGATCTGTTTATATGTTGTCCCTTCAAACTCAAAATGAATGTTTTCTGTACATATAAGAATAAGTTCTCTTAAGTATTCAAGAGGAATATTAAGTTGAAAATTGTTTGAAGAAATATAATCGCACAAAAAATCAACTGTTTCATAAAGTGGTACATTAGTAAAAAGGTGAATCCACTTCTATCGAATACATTCTCTCCTGGGATATTGTAATATTATTCAAAATATTGGAGAAATCAAAAGAATCTTTCACACAATGGGGCACGAGAGACTTACGAATGGGATGAAGAATGTCTACCAGCCATCGGGCGAGCTTGTGATACGGCTAGTTTTGCATGAACAAAATTGGTCTGAGTTGAGTTCCACGTTTGCGAACCCGATCTTATGCGTCATATTCTTGAGCTCTGTGATTGCCTTATAGTGTTTTGGAGTGAAGCAGCAGTGTTGTCGAATCGGTGCCGTAAGGTAGGAATGACAAACTTCCACCAGTTTCGCACGGGTCCACCTGGCGTTTTCGGCTGATGTAGGTGAAAGTTCTTTTAACTGATCATAAAAGTTTCGAACTGAACACGAGTTTGCAGATCGTCAACCTTTCTTGGTGGAATCTGGAACTTCATCCCCATGGATAGAACACCCGACCTTATGTGCACAGAAGTTTTTGATACAAGCAATCCACTTACCGTGGAGCTGACATTTTACTTCTAAATTTAGTATTCTTTGTATACGTTCGTTCACCATAATTGATTAATCCCATGTGCTATATATGTGCCTGTTTGTTTCAAGTCAGCGACTGAGAAGATTAAAACGAAATGTTAATATCTCGCGACATTTGTCTTCTTTCTGTTTTGACCACAGGATTGGTCGGTAAATCTGATTCCCGATTGGCTACCCAGAAGCTGTACAGCGGTTCGAGAGTACTCATGGTACGATCACACAGGCATTTAAAAAATACACTTTTAGGAATGCTGTGACCGATAACAACGAGATCAAGTAGGTGGTTAAAAGTCGTTCGACAACCGGAATCGGACTAATGGCCGAAGAGGACATCGACACAGTTCAATCTTTTATGTAGTTTGATAAGAATCGCGAAATTTTGCTGGAACAAGCTTACCTCAGTACTCTGGACCCAGGAATCTATTCACTTCTAAGACTTTTTTTTATTAAACACTTTCATGTGATGAACAGCAGACGGGGTAGACCCCATGGTCATGAAGACCTGCTGTTCGGTGATGGAAACCGGTAACCTAAGCCCATGGGCTTGCAGTGTTGAACCACATAAAGCACCAATAGGCTAGGCTTGGTATTGAACCGGACGATAGCAAAGCTGCCTACCACCAAAAAGACTACTGAAGAGTCCCTAAACATAAAACGGGATGGAGACAACCCATTCGGTTTAGTGGTTTTATGTTATGAAACACCTCACCTACCGGATAACCCGTGTTCCCTACACAACGCTGGTGGTAATTGGCAAAATGTGGCCAGTTCAATGTCCACGAATTCCAGCTGCACTGTACCTTGAAATGATCTGCTCGACGCTCCGGCGTGCGTTTATTCTCCATACTTACACGTCTGTAGCTTAGTTCTTTCTTACTTTGCCACCGCGATCACTTTTCATGATTTCGGGGTGATTTCCACATAATCAGACTCGGCAAAACCGGCACATAAAAATGCATAGTTAATGGTTGCAAAAACTGAAACTGAGATTTGGCTTCTGAAGGAATAATCCAAAAAGTCAACAGAGATGAGGTAACCGCGCTGCATGCGATTTGACCGTACGCCAGAATTCGACGTTCTGAAAAAACTATGAACAACGCACTTGTTTATCCCCCTATTTTATTATTAGTGTCTCAAAGTAATATGCCCAGAAAGCAAACACTCAGAAGACCGCTTCAGAAAGATGAACACTGACGTGATCATTGATATACGCAGCACAGGCGTTTAAATTATTGACCAGCGAATACAATTCAGATCAGTTATCATATTCCAGAAGGAAATGACCGCTATGTGGTTCTGTATCGTGCCTATCAATTTAGTGCTCGTGATTTGGGAGTTTTAGTGGTGGACAACTTGCGTTCACCACGACAGTTGATCAATATAGCTTGTAACGGCAAACAAGAAACTTTCATCCGGCATAAGTCATTTGATCGTCGGTTCATTTTAATTGCAAATATATACTACGTGGTTTGTAAATGCAGAGAAAGGAAAGTAGTACATATCTCTTAATGACCCACCCGACCAGGAAAAAATCAAACGCATGCCATCCAAAAATGCACGGAGCAGATGTAATCATGGACTGTTGGACGCGGCAGTTCCCGGTGGGGATTTTTGTACGAATGGATGTGAATCTGAGTGGCGACCAGTACGAGGGAAATAGTGAACCAACGGGGATCAGTCGTTGGACCAGGAATGACCAGATTCATTTTTGATCTTTGCCCGTAATATACTGTAGTAACTCCTCAAAAGTTTGGAAGCTGGTCTCTGAATCGGTCGCCTTCACCCTCCAAGATTCAGGGAATGAGGTCCGGAAGCGGTTGTTAAGTTCAAACATGCTGTGCACACCAGCAATTTTCCAAACAATGTAGGCAAGACCACCAACTCCAGTGACAGCTAAAACTGTGCCACAGCCCAGTGCACGAACCGCGAAACGGATCCCTGACTCATGCTTGATCGTACCGGATACGGGAACTTGCAATCCCTAGTTTCCATAAAATTATGAGAAATGAAACAATAACAGCAATAAATAAATGAGTCACAAATGAACGTGTTCTTCAAGTAACCTGTAATAGCATTAAGTTAAGTGGAATCGTGTATGGTCTAACAGGCTGGTTATTTACAAACAAATTTTGCACACCATTTTGAAACCAAATTTTGAGAGGCGAGTGGTATTCATGTTACTCATTTACTAAGTAAGGCCTACCTCCATGCATTAACTGGCGAATAACAAAAGGCGTAGGACGTTTCATGATTGCTACACGAAAGCGCCTTCAAGTGTAACACCATATCAGAAAAGTATCTCAAAGCACAAATTTGAAATGGCGGCAGTGGTCCGGTGATAACGTCACCAAATTATCACTTCGGGGGACGTGTGTTCGAACCCCACCATCACCACCTGACTTTCCCCATGGCAGCCCTTTGATTGGTCGCTTCCCCCTTCCTGAAAATTGTATCATTGTGTATTCAATAAAAAAGGAAGTAAAATTTTTAAAAAACCAGAAGCTTATCTGGTGGTCGTGAGCCCCCAATAGGCAAACGAATGAAGGTTACAGACTATTTCAATTTGACACACCGCTTATGCCTTTACGACGGTCAACCTAAGTGATCATTGACCGGGGCAATCATTCATCTTATTCTTAGTGCAACCTATGACAGTTACTTACAGAAGAACTTCCGTGCAATATTGTTGCGGTAAGATGACCGTAGATTGGCATCAGATTATATCAAATGACCTCAAAGTTACATTAGAATCCTCCGTTCAAGGATAGGTCAGCACCAGTAATTATAACAATCCAGAGATTCTCGGGAACAGGATTGCAAGCGATACCTCTTCGCATTGTTTGGCCTTTTATGGTCGAAATTGCACCTCTGGCCTTTTCGTACATCAAACTGCAAGGTAGCAGACACGACGAAAAGGAAATCAGATTCCACACACCGCCAGACTCTTCAGACGTACAATGGAGAGGATGCTTGCTAAAACAAAACTTATGACTTCATCAAACATTGTCACTGTCACTTACACACAGATTGAGTCTGTTGTTTATGGTTAGTCGCCGTTCTCCTATTCGCAGTACTGGGGGTGCTGCGGGTCGCTGCAGCTACGCAGGTTCTCTTCAGAAAGGCGACAAAACAATTTACTAGAGCTACGGGAGAATATACATTGAATTCACTGCAAGGGTTCTCTATGTATTGCCATTGAACCAATTTTCAGCTGCGACGAATTATAACACTTGACGGAACCAACGGGATTTGGACTGAATCAGAGACCGCCTCGATCAAATATTCACGTTGAGGCCGACTTTGCAACACCATTTGAAGCTCCAGCAGCCAGTGATTGCGTGCTTCATTGAACCCTACGTTGTTTTTGACTTCCCATTGTGGGTTCCTGATGGAATTGGTAGAAGTGCAATGATGGGCCAATTTAAGTGTGGAAATCGCAGTGAGGAGAGCCTCGATCTTGTTATCTATGTTTCCTCAGTGCTAAGCTTATTTCATCTGTACAATTTTTAAACTGGGTTCGTTAACGTAACTCAAGGGAATAACAAGCGTCAAAAACAAACGGATCAACGTAAACTAACTGTCCAAAAACTATGTGCAGCAATTAACATTTCAAAGTCGCATCTTGCATGTCTTTTTTATTGTGACCGCTGCAAATGTTCTGTTCAAGCATGCGATGACAGTCAATAATTGAAAAGTGGGGAATAAAGAAGCATTGGAAAAATTCAATTAACGTACCTTCGCAAATGCTGATGGCTCAATTTTGCGTGCACTGTATAAAGAAACGGCAAATCCAGCCAGGGCAGATAATCCGAAGGCGCTCACAATGAACGCGACAGCTGGAACCCGGCTGGAAATTTCATTCGACTTGTCAGACCATTCGAAGTTCTGTTTAACCGTTGGTTCAGTCACAGATTTCTCTGCTCCAGACATGAAGACAACGCAGATGTAATCGGAGAGAAACAATATAGCTAAAAATGGATCAGTACGAGATATGAACTGAAAGATGAATGCGGCAATCAACCGTGCGAAGCATTATCCCAAAGTGACCCACATCGTTCATATTTGTAATCCGAAACATCTTTTATTATTGGTCTTGCAGCGTTGGCACTACGTTTGTCTGCAAGCCATGTACAAGAACATACACTCATCCTAATGGACGAGGGTTCGCCGGAGAATAGTGTCAGGTGTATGAAAACTTGATTTAACCAGTGCGTATATGTATGGAGTGACGCCTGTCAAAAGCCAATGCGTACATGGATCAGCATCAAGATGACGAATTGACCGCAAAATCTACCGTTTTCCCTGCACACTATGCCATCCACAAACAGTTGACAATTGAGCGTTGATCAATGGAGGGCGTCGACGTAGACAGTTCAAATCCGAATTACTGCACGACCACGGTCAGCAGTAAATAACCCTCAAGCGTAAATCGGTCTTGTCTTTATTATGCACAGATCGTAGGCTCTATCACTATTACGATTAATGAAGACATTTAAATTAAAATTCATCATACACAACTGCGCAGTGATAGATTTTATCACAAACAAGACCAGCTGTCCATTCATGATAACCAGCAATAAGCCGCCCAGCATGGTGCGGGGAACCACGAAGCCCCGATGTGTGTAACCGGGAGACACTGAAGCTACCGACTGGTAACGTCAACAAGCGTTAAAAAGACGTTTTTCAAGACTTCTGCTGTTACAAAAAATTACTCCCCTGGCAGGAATGTTACACAATTCATATCAAATCCACAGGAGGAATTCCGCCGCGTAAATAGTTTCACGAAGCGTCTTGAGAATAAATGAGAGAAAGCGCTAAGTGCGCATGAGACGGGCAGGCAACAGATACGTAATTAAGTTTTGATCATGTCGCAATGCATGCAACACCGACTAGCGAAGGTATCTCGAACTTTCTGTCTTAACTCTATTGATTGAGCAGTGGTTCTCAGTGGCTTCAAACAGCCGTATTGTGGGTCGGTACGCCACCCTCGTGCTGGCGCCACATAACCCTGAACTACGCAAGAACACTTTCGACGACGAGCAGATCAGAGAATGCATTCAGTTTCAGTTTATACAATCAATGACAATCCACTTTGAATACGAAGCTCTTTTGTCCCTCCCGGCAATGAGAAGAACCCAGTGTGAGTAAAAATTTGTGCGAATACGTAGAACTTCTGGAACGAAACCACTCACAGTTGGGTACATCGACTCGAATGCCTTACACTCGTTTGAGTCGACTGAGAGCGAAACAAAGCAAGGTACCATAACCGTCATAACCTGTGACTACAACGAGAACCACGACATTAGGGTTCATTCGCCTTTTCTTGGTTGGTATGAAAAAAGGGTTTTCAGTCAACTCCTCCAGTTGTCAGTAACTCACCGACCGGATCACAGCCCCGGATGCTTGCTTTTTAGTCTCACTTTGGTGTGCGGTGGGGGCGAGAACCCCGTGATGGCTTTCTCAGTAGAGGCATTTTGAGATGTCTGGTAGCATTCAAGCATTTCGAGACGCAAGGGGAAGGTGACCAATCACAACTCAAGGCACTCAGTCCCGTTCATACGGAGGCTTTCGGA